TTGTTCAGAGTGAGAGGGGAAAGATTTAAAAATGACCTAAGGGGTAACTTTTTCACGCAGAGGGTGGTGCGTGTATGGAATGAGCTGCCTGAAGAAGTGGTGGGGGCAGGTACAATTACAACATTTAAAAGGCATCTGGATGGGTATATGAATAGGAAGGGTTTGGAGGGATATGGGCCAAATGCTGGCAAATGGGACTAGATTTATTTAGGATATCTGGCGGCATGGACGAATAGGACTGAAGGCTCTGTTTCTGTGCTGTCTATCTCTGTGACTCAATACTGTTGCAAATAAGTAACTGATTGATCTGGAATGGTGACCAATTGTTAATACAAAGGTCATCTTCAGCCTGCCAACAACTATATTATTGGTTCCAAGATTGCCAAAAGCCTTCAGACCTCTGGAAAGGGTGGTGCTATCTTTTCTCTGCAGTGAAAAACAACCAAATTCCGAATAAAGCCAGAATAATTTCTTTCACCAGTTTAACCAATAAGTCAGAGATTTATAAACTGTAACCCAGTCACTCTGTGCCTCTAACAAGCAAAAGTACCTGGAGAAAGGAGGTCAGGGATCAGCTAGTCTTGGCAAGCCAAAACTATCATCTCAGTTAACCTTGGGGACAGGGAACATTGATCTGCTGTCTCAGTTTTTCACTCAACAGATAAATCAAAACACATTGTTTTGTCTGTCTGTATGTATGTGTAGAGGGGAACTGTAGAAGGGAGTTAGAGTTTTAACTAGGCAAGTTATATGCTGAGGGGTCAGGCAGCATCAGAGGAGCAGGAAAGTTGACGTTTCAGGTCGGGACCCTTTATCAGGACTGGGGAGGGAGAGGAGAGCTGGGAAATACATAGAGGAAGGAGGGATGGAGCTGGGGGCAAGTAGGGATGGTGATAGGTAGGTGCAAGGGGGGTAGTGGGGGTTGGTCAGTGGGAAGGGTGGGGAGGGTAGGTGAGAAAGAAGATGGACAGGTTGCATCAGGTCAAGGAGGTGGGGATGAGAGGGAGGATTGGAAATAGGATGAGGCTGGGGAGGTGGGGAGATTTGACCTGACATAACCTGTCCATCTTCCACACTGTAGGGATTCTACGAAACAGGAAAATTGTGGAATTTTGTGTACTTTGATCTTTAACTTTTGTGATGATTCCAGGAATTCTGGGGCTTGATTTCCTGCCTGCTGTACCATGAAGTGCAACAACCCATAGACTCAATTCAGTTAGATCTATCCTTTGAATTTATTTAGCTTATTAAGAGGTGTTCTCTCATAAATATAGATGTTAAAATGAAGCTAAAGTAAGCCCTTTAACCAACTCTACCATAAAATTTACTGCATCTAATTGTTCCAGTGAGTTTATTGCACTGGTGGTACAGATCATTGATACTGAGATACATTTTACATCAGCACATTTTCAAAATTACGCACTGACTTTGATAAATACAATATCTGGCTATATCCTTGATGTGTTTATTCACTTCATCTATCACGGCACAGTGGCTCAGTGGTTAGCATTGCTGCCTCACAGCACCAGGGACCCGGGTTTGATTCCACCCTTGGGCAACTGTCTGTGTGGAGTTTGCACATTCTCCCCGTCTCTGTGTGGGTTTCCTCCGGGTGCTCCGGTTTCCTCCCACAGTCCAAAGATGTGCAGAGTAGGTGGATTGGCCATGCTAAATTGCCCAGAGTGTTCAGGGTTGTGTAGATTAGGTGGGTGAGAGGGGGATGGGGTCTGGGTGGGATGCTCTGAAGTTCGGTGTGAACTTGTTGGGCTGAAGGGTCTATTTCCACAGTGTAGGGGTTCTATGATCTAAGATCTAAATTTGTAAAAATGTCAACATACTGAGGTTATAAAGCTATGAAATATAATTTGATAACATGGCAGGATTATTGATTTAAGAAATTATTTGCTGTGCTGCTCAAAAAAATCATCTAAAAATGAAAACTGTACATTTCAGGGAACATTCCAAAATCCTACAGGTTTTACAGTAAGAAAAAAGATTAGTGACTTCCTTAATGCTAAGTTTACCATTTCTAAAAAAAAATGGAAATTTGCAGACAACAATTTGGGAGTTGAGATTTCGTTTGGAATTTTTAAAAACATGTCACTGTTTATGTACCTGTTGTTGTCCATTAGTACATTTTGTAGGACTGAACCAAACTAAAATGCTCAGGCTATATCAATACGTACTTACAAAATCCTTAACTAAAACCCTGTTGAAGTGCAGAAAGCTAAATCAAACAAAATTTTGAATAACTTAAAAGAAACAAGCTGTTAGTTCCTTAGAAGACAATCAACAAAGAATTAAGTTCTCTCCTGGCTTTCAGGGATTAGGAAATTAAAATTATGCCAAAACTTTTGCAACATTTGTTGAACTGCAAAACTGGCATTTAAAATAAGGAAGGTTGCACAATTAGTACCAAATATTTCATGGCCCAATAATGACTCTTTGAATCTGTTTCAATTTTCTGCTTTTAATCATCCCATCTTGTGTGTGTGTTGCCATTTTGTGCAAGCGAGTACCGGCAATAGAATTTGTTTCATAGAATATACCAAGTGTTTTTAACATATGTGCAATATTTCACCTGAAGGATTTTGATTTATTTCAATCATTTCTGTAATAATTATTATTGATAAAATTAGCAGAAAAATGCTGTCATTGTACTCACCACAGTACAGGTGAGTGAAATAAATCACATCAAGACAGTAAAAGACTCATTCACTGATATCCTCAACAGCATCACATGGGCATTTAGCGGAACCAGGTTTTAAAAAGTATGATACTTTGTATGGTGAAACGTCAGTCAGAACAAGCCAGGTTGGAAAAGAATCACATTAGAGGGAAGAATGACAGTGGTACACAGAACTGCAGTGTACAGAAATGCCTCATGAACTATGACTAATCAGGAACAGATGCCCCAACAATACTTTCTGGGTTTCTATTTTCAATGTTTGTCTTTGGGCCATCAAACTGTATAAAATTGTACTCTTTAAACTAGATATTAAGTTTAAATTAGCATTCCCATCATTTTATAAATATCTTAAGCTACTGGAAACAACAGATTGATTCGGATAATGCTGATTAACATGCGCTCAGGTTTTTGACATTATCTGGATTCCCTGACTCTTAGATATCTAATATCATCTACATTGTACTTCTTTCAAGATTTGGTATCAGTTTTTTAGATTGAGGCATAGCGGCTCGTTATTGTTGACTGGCCCTTTATTTGACGATGATGTCGACCCAAGGTTGTGTTTCTGCTGACAGATCTTTGGTTACATGGAATTGCCCCACAAGATGTCAGAGTGCTTGATTCGCTTCCTTTTCCCTTCTCTGCCTTATCAGTGAGCTGCTATGATTGAAGGTGTGATGCAACTTGATGAACGTCACCATTCTGAACGATTGATAAAAAGCTCTTCCCAGTCATTGGTCGATGCCACCACACTTTAAGAAGAAGAGCATTTAAATGTGCAATGTGAATTGGCCAAATTGTTGACTGAATTACCATAGCCGGTTCTTAGTGAGTTTTCCATGTACTGGTGAAAGATTTCTTCAGAAGATATGACTTGCATATTGACAGACCATACTCAACTGGGTTGTGTTTCCAAAAACCCAAAGAAAAACATCTAAACTTAGATACGATTCTATAATTAGACAGCACCTTCAATGGGAAGATTGTTGTTAAGCTTGAGAGGGTGCAGAAAAGATTTACAAGGATGTCCCGGGATTGAAGGGCTTGAATTATAGGGAAAGGCTGAATAGGCAGGGACTTTTGCTCCCCCTGGAGCGTAGGAAGCTCGGCGTTGACCTTATAGAAGTTTATAAGATCATGAAGGGTATGAATAGAGTGAATAGCCAAGGGCATTTTCCTCAGGTGGGCGAGTCCAAAACTAGAGGACATAGGTTCAAGGTGAGAGGGGAAAGATTTATAAAGGACCTGAGGGGTAACTTTTTCACGCAGAGGGTGGTTTGTGTATGGAAGGAGCTGCTAGAGGAAGGAATCTGGATGGGTATATGAATAGGAACTGTTAGAGGGATATGGGCCAAATGCTGGCAAATGAGACTAGGTCAGATCGGGATGGCTGGTCAGTGCAGATGAGTTGGACCGAAGGGTCTGTTTTCATGCTGTATGACTCTATTGATGTCGTGAAAAATCACGAGTGTACTAACAGCTACACGAACAACAAATTTAAGTTAGTTGGTTGAGATAACAGGGCTCATCTTTGTTAGAAAGTAATGTATCTTTATACACAGGGGGACAATTTCTACAAGAGATATATTCAAGCCCTTTGCCTTGTTGAATTAGCTTGGAGGCTGGGGACACGATAGTTTCCCTTTGCTTTTTCCATGGCCATATCATTTATCAACCAATCAACAGCCTTTTCTTCTGCAGTATAATTAGATCAATAAAGGGCAAGATCAAAATAATGCATTTTGTAAAGGAATTTAAAAGTTGGACAGAGAAGTTGAGGGGTGGAAGGTTTAGGAGTTAGTTCTCATAAGGCTGAAGTTGATGAATGCTCTTCCTCATAGGGCGGTATAGAAATGGGAGTGAGTACATGGAAGGAATCTGAGGATTGAAGAGTATAGGGGTAGGAGTCTGCCGTGATTATACAGAGGAAGGTGCACATTCAGATATGATGTGTAATAAATTTAATACACCAAGGGCAGGCGTGGTAAAGAAAGGACTATAGGTGGTTTTAATTTTGGATAAATTGCGAGTTATGATGCATACAAGGCCCAAAAAAATGGCAAAAGTGAATTGTATGGATGATAAGGCATAGATGGTTTCAGCAAACTAGGTGTCAATGTAGGAAACACTGCAGAAATGCAGGGAAGTGGTCTTGTTGTCAAAGAGGAAGTGAAATTTAAAACGTTGAGTAGAAGACTGCGGGTTGAATTAGTTAGAAAGTGTCCTGACAAAATCAGTGGCAAGGCATCATCACTTGGAGTTAAACTTTAGATGGCTAGCCTCATACATGGGTAGACAGGGGGTAAACAAATAACGAGAAAGAACAAATTTTATTCACAGAATTGACATACTTTCCATACAAACAGATCTGTGAAAATTAAAATAAGTTTGTTCAGAAATTAGCAAATAACACTTTCTTTATAGATGTTTTACTTGTACACCTGTAACTTAAATAAGATTTTTAAACAAAGTCTGTGCAGTGCCCTTGATTATGCTGCAATCTGCAAATTTAGCAGTTTCTTTACAGATTCTTTATATTGTGAAATGCCATTTTCTGTTTCTCCTACATTTTTAATATTCACCACAGATAGCTTGTAATTGTGGACTTCTGGGGAGCTAATTATGTCTTCCTTTGAAACTGGTAATTTTTCAGCTTTTCTCATTCTAAAGATTGTATCCAAAGCATTTTTCTCAGATTGACTGTTCTCCCAAATATATTCATCCATATCAGCTTCTGTTTTGTCCAATTCCCATGCTTCAGTTTTCTGGGAAGAAGAAAGGCAATAACATGATGATGATGTGATTGATTTTTCAGAAGGTAAGTACTGTATTTCTATACCATCAGAATGGTTTGACCTTAACAAAACAATCTAAAAATATTGTCAGAGGAGATCCAATTATAGGTTGAAGTACAAGACTGGATATATGAACTAAATTAAAACCATTATGGAAATGCAGATGAAAATAAGGAACATGCAAATGAACTAAAATCAGAACTACAAGTTAAGATTTGTAATTGATAATAAACAAATTGATAGACTGAAGATAAATGTACGGTTGAATTTAAGATTTGCAAGTAGTTCAATGAAATGCCTTTTCTCTTTAGTGCTGCTCCTACATAAGCTTTCATATTGCAAGGAAAAGTTAATAGGATGCAGTTTCTGATACATTTTTCCAAGTCAATAAAAAAAAGCAAGGACTATTGCAACAATAATGGACCTACTTGCAATGGTTTGTTAAACCATCAGAAATAGCAGTTTAAAGGGTATTTACTGTTCAATATTATTCCCTGAAATTTGAAGATCGTCAAAACAGATTTTAAAGGTTTTTGGAAAAGAAAAATCAATGAATAAACAATTAGAATCAGAACAATCATGACTTTCTCTAAATTGCTATTACATGAAATGACGTTACAATGACATTTAAATACCTTCATGCTAAATTGTGCCATATTAATGGGACAGTTATTCTGCCACTCCTGCAGTGTAATAGTGGTTTCAACTTTGCAGGAACAGAAAAGTATTATGTTTATGGGATTTTAAACTTGTTCTCACCCTTACCCAGTCTGCCTTTTCATCACGTTTAACCAAGTGAAAGTGTGAGCACACAGATTAAAAAAAAACACAGTTTAACATGAAAGTTGTGCTTTTCTATATAACTCAAAAATGCAGCAGTATAAAGAACTTCACTGTGGGCATCTTTTATTTCTTGCTACAACACAATCTTAACTCCACACAGCTTTCGATCATTTACTGGATTTATAGGCACATTATAAACTTAGGCAGAGTCTTATTAAATGTTTTTTGGAAGCTTTTAAATTTATTTTTTGTAATGCATCCTTTATTGCCCATTGCTTGTTAGACTTGAGAAAGTGGCGGTGAGCTGCCTTTTTGAACTGTTGCAGTCCATTTGCTGTAGGTAGATCTATAATGCTATTAGGGAGGGAGTTCTAGGAATTTGAGTCAGGAATGGTGATCTATTTCTAACTTGGAATGGTTAGTAGCTTCGAAGGAAACCCGCTGGTTGTAGTGTTCCCCTGTATCAATTGTTGCTGGCATTTCCATTCATGCTGTTTAAACATTAAAGAAAAATAACTATTTGGGAGTAGATATTTGGTAATATAATTTGGTTCAGAGCTCTCACATTGCGTGATTCACACGTAAGCAATGCAGCAAAGTACTAGATTAGAATTGCAACCAAGATTGGCAATACAGTATAACCAGCTTAGCTTCCAAATTGTTAAAAGATTTGGAGACCAAAGTACAAAAAATAACACTGTCAAGACACAGGATCAAATGCCTTTAAGTACAGATAATGAAAATCTATACTATTATACTGTCTGTACAGCTCGACAGATGTTAAAAAGAAATTCAAACTTCCAGTTTATACGTGAAAGGATGACAAGATTTCATGACTAATGACTTCCACCATAAGAAGACTAAAAGCACTATTAACTAAATATTAACTTTGTAGCAGTTTACATTCTGAACTACAGCACTGAATTATCTCGTTTAAGCACAACCAATACTATCACTTCACAAATATAATTTATATTGTCTATTAAACAGACATCCAATACTCCTGGAGAGGGACTGAGCAACAGTTTTCCTGGACCAAGTGGAGGTTGGAAAAAGAATTAAATGCAGAATACCACCAAAGAAAGTAATCATCCTTGGAAAACCTTTAAAAAGTAGATTAGTTTTCCTATTTATAGTGTGTGACTTTTTGCTTTCCAGAAGAGAGTGGATATATTTAAAGCAGAGATAGCTATGTTTTTGTTGTCCAGAGGTATTAAAGGCACTGAGTCAAAAATCGACTGTGATCTTCACTGAACTTCAGTTCATTATCTGAAAGGGTTGTTATTACATGCTGAAGATTATTTTTACGATTAGTAATCCTAATGTGTAGAAGCTCTTCATATAGCTGAGGTTACACAGCAAAATTTGTATATGGCACAAGTCCTTTTGATTTATCCAAAATATCAAAACATCTTTTCACAGAACATTCCCCTTAACTAGTGTGATATTGATCAACTGGTAAACTGGGCAGTGCAATGGCAGATGGAATTTCATCCTGATAAGTAGGTGGTGTTGCAGTTTGGGAGGTTTCATAGACAAGGATTTACACAATGAATGGTATGTTGCTAGGTAGTACTGAGGAACAAGGGGACTTTGGTGTACAAGTCCATAGATCCCTGAAGGTGTCAGTTCCTGTTTTTAGGGTGATAAAGAAAACATACAGATGCTTGCCTTCAGTAGCCAGGACGCAGAATTTAGGAACAGAGAAGTCATGTTGCAACCTTATAAAACAACTTATAGAGCTCACAGATGGAATACAACATGCAGTTCTGGTCGCCATGCTATCAGAAAGATGTGATCGCACTGGAGAGAGATTCAACAGAGTTGCCTGGGATGGAAAATCTCAGTTATAAGGAGAGACTGGATAGGCTGGATTGGTTTTCCTCTGGAGCACAGGAGGCTTGAGCAGTGGTGGTGGTGGGGGATGCGGATTTGGTCTGATTCAAGTGTACAAAATTATGAGATGCATAGATGGGGTAAATTGAGAGAATCTTTTCTTCATGCAGGCATGTCTAAGACCAAAAGTTTAAAGTGAGGAGTAAGTGGTTTAGAGAGGATCTAAGGAAATATTTTTCACCCAAGTGGTAGAAATATGGAACATGCTGTCTAAGACAGTGGTGGAGGCAGGTATTCTTGTAACATTTAAGACTCATCTAGATGATCACTTAAAATACCAAGGCACAGTAAGCTATGGACCAAGTACAGGTAAATGGGATGACTATAGTTTGGTGTTTATTGTTTGGCATAGACATGGCTGACAGAAGGGCCTGTTTCTATGTTGTATAATTCAATAAAATGACCCCATCTTTGTAAAGTCTAAAATAATCCAAGACAATAAAAATACAATTAAAGGCTTTGATACTAAATTGGTTAGAATTTAAATACAGCTTTTAATTTGGAAAATTAAGTTCCGCTTCAAAGCACTGATACAGACAGTGCTTAAAGTTAATAATGTAAGGTCACTTCCTAGCTGTGTATTACACAGAAATGTTTGCCAAAACCATAAAGCTGCAACCCATTCTTTCGATGCAAAACTGGTTAGAGCAATTTTACATCCGGTGCATCCCTCCCAGAATGTACAAAAAGAATACAAGCATCTGGTCGAGGATGCACAGAAATACTTGTAAAAGTTCAATTTATTGGCTCTATTACAAGCTTAACCGCTTCCCAAATCTCATAACTCATGCTCCAAGAGACCTTCTGGACAACGTAGTGCATTTATGAACCAAAAACTTTTAGGTATGGTGTGGATACTTGTCTCAAGGCTCACAATTTATTATTTTAATCATAGCACTAAATCAGCAATGGAGTGGTTTACATTCTTGAACACTTCAATAAGCAGAAATGCACACAGCCAGCAAGCATATATTTCAAACTAAACTATAAAATGTAACACAAATAAAATAGCCATTATTCATCATGCGCTGTCCCAAAGGGAGGAAATTTACAAAGTTTTAGCAGATTTCCCGGAATGAAATTGAGCATGAGCCATGAAGAAAAACTTTAAATGAGAAATGATTCTTCATGGATTTAGGTTTGGCACACGTAGTAATGCAGCAAAATAGGAAAATGAAGATCAGCTGAGATAAATGTTTCTCAGTTCCTGAATGTACAATCTGTCATAATTAAAGTTGCAAACGTTTCCTTCAGATTTATTAAAAGCTGCCTCACTTCAAGTTCCTTTCTACAAATAATCTGATTTTCTGATGTAAATAAGCATAGGAATTGTATTACTTCTATTATTAACTTCAGATATTGCTTGTATTATTTCAAATTTACATAAATTGACATACACAATGAAGCCCATATTTTCCAAGAGGAGAGCAATTTAGTTTCCTGTAATTTGATTTTTTACTTGATATTATTTGGCATTTAATGTATCCCAAACCAATCTTTACAGTTGAAGCTACTAATATTGATTATTGCAATGTTTGGAATATCACTGAGAAATCCATTCTTTTGTGGAACACCATGTGGGCTGGATTCTCATATTACTGGGTGATGAAAAAAGTGTAAAGTTCCACTCACTACAGCATGTTGGTATTTTGTCAACTAGGCAATCAACTCATGGATTATGACTGTACCAATTCTTATTGAACAGCTTACTACAATAACTAATGTCTAAATAGTGCAATTATTTAACAGTACTCATGCTCAGTAACATCAGACAGGTGCAGCTCCTGTAACAAAACATTTCAACTCATCTGCAAGCTAGTTGGAAAGAGATCGCATTGACCATGGAAAATCAAATATGTCACAGGCTCATTAATGTTTCATAAAAATCAAACGCAATTAGGACTGATTGACACCTCCATTAACTATTGATATTAGATCTGAAAGGTAACAGAAGCTAGCCATTTCACCAAAGGCTTTCCTGCGTGTTCAGAATACAACACACACAACATGAAAATATCGGATGACCTGGTTTCCCCATCCAAGTAACATTATAGTCAGAAGAATGAAGAGTTTGTCTCCCGTTAATAAACAAGTCATCTCCTAATCTTTCACCATTAATACATTGCTGGCATTGAAAATTTCCACCTGCCACTGGGGTAATGGCTTTTCTTATCAGTAATAAAAGATCACAGTGTTCATGCACTTATAGCAATGGACCTTGAAAATGTAGTGACATTGAATTTAGAAGTACATCATTAGAAAGGGAGAAAAAAGACTTGCCTGTATTACAA